TTTTAGTTTGATTATTGTACTGAATTTTGTACTCTTAATATTTGGTTTATAATACTTAAAATTAGTTAATAAGAGATACTACAATGAGGTTGTAACTTTTGGTGACTATCAAAATGCTTTGTTTAAAGTAAAAATTGCTTCAAATTCTGGGAGTAGAAATGCAAAATTTATTCATGACTTTTATAACCTTATAAAAATAGTGATTCATGATTGTTTAGAGCACCCTTGAAAGTTGTCAGATATAAAGCTCTTCAAGCGCTCCGTTTTGGATTTTGCTAGGATCGTTTACACATACGGTATTCCCGAGTTTTGTATCCTGGCAATTGGAAAGCATACGCAACGACAATTGTTCTGAACTTACAGTTTTTAGAGCCCTCATCTAAACGTTTGATTGTTATGCTCTACACTGAAAATACCAGCTTCCTAACTGTTGCCAAACTTAGGAGACTACCTCAAAAACCAAATGCTAATGCATGTATCTCATGCGTATGCCTAGAAATTGTAGAACTGATCCACACAGGGACGTATAAGTGGTGGCTTGTTCTTGGTGTGTAATTCGCTAACTCACAGTAGCCTATCCCCCACTTATATCCCGTCTTGGCTTGTGACAGTATGTTATCTGTCTGGGATCCCCCAGGGTATCGTTGTTAGACTTCAGAAAACGTTTTCTCATTCATCGTCTCCATAAACAGCATTTAAAGATTCATACGTCTCCTGAAATTTTTTCGTATTTTCATCGTAAGACTTACTGTGAAATAATAAGTATAAAATGCACGGTCTTTCTTTAGGAAGGGGTTTTGTGATATTATGATAATTCTAATAGTTGTGATCATGAGTCGATTGAAGCTAGATCGCCATGGAAAACCTGCGAGCACTGGACGGCCAAATATATATTCGCCACATAAATCATTCGGTTTGGGATACTGCCCGGGTGCTTAGACTGAAGTAGGTGGTTTCCTTAGAGGGCCACGTCCGGAGCCTTCAACCTAAAGGTGTGATCTAAAAGGCAATGCAGCAGCGTCAGGAGATGCAGTCCTACAGTAGACGGTGACCAACAATAGGTTCATACGCCATTTGTTTCCTCAGGATCCTGGAGCTCATATGCACCATTGGTTTGGAATCAAGGTTTTCCAACTCCTCTAGGTGGGTACCCCGTACCCACCACCATCCCGGTTAGAGCGTCAGATATTCGCTTTTCGTTCTCTCAATTTTCCAATCAACACTGCAGTTGCGAAAAGGCAGTGAGTAAAACTTCCCCAGTAGCGGTTTTATGCACGTGGTCATTTGAGAGCATTTTGAAAAGGATAGTTGATTCTCCGCAACCTCGATCTCATACCAGGGCATTTGGGGACAAACAAAGAGAATATACTATCAGTTATTTGTTTACAAATAAATGGTTTATTTCCTGTTATTTTGGTTATTTATTTATCTAAATTAGTCCATTGATTTATTTCAACTACTATTCATTACTTTAAATAGATGAATATTTGATAGAATTAGTATTTTTCCTCCCTTTATTTTAGTCTGAAAAAGAATTCAACACTAAATATTATTATGAATACACAGTTATCTTATTTGTTGGTATTAATCCTATGAAAGAGAATTCAATCATAAATAATTCAATTAATAGTAATGGCTATATAACAGTAAAAGCTACAGATTTAACAAGAAATTCGGCAAGACATAAAGCTGCCCAAAGTGTAATAAAATGTTTAACAAAATTAATTTGAATAGTGATTATTGATTTCGATTATTTTCTTTTTTTTTGTCTTCATTTAATTAAGAAATGATAAACTTTGTCCAGTTTTTATTTATCTATTTCTTTTTTAGGAGGATACATGCTTTTGTAGTCATTTAATTCCTTTTTTTCGTTTACTCTTTACAAAATACTTTTTATCCGAAGGGGCTTTGTGGAGATTTTAGAAATTTCGTCCTAGTATGAGACTCCTAAGCAGTGCGCATCCACGGTCCCGCTCCCCGCGGAGGAGTCCCCATACTACGATGAAGGGGCCGTCCAGTGCTTTCAGGTTTTCCAAGGTGGTCTATCTTCAATTGACTCATGATTTCAACTATTGAAAATACTTTTTATTTTTGCATTTTAACTTCTCAAATTTTATCAAAAGCATTTAAGACAAATTTTTGAATCATTAATACTTTTCTATTCTATAGCTACATTCAGATTCTTTTTCTTTAAACTTAAATCTCTACGATACTTGATAATAGTTCATTTAAATGACAATGTGATTATTTTCAACTCTCTATACAGCACTACTTTTTATTAAGTCAAATTCTTTCTAGTAAACTTTTCACTCATATTTTCATCAGCAATCGTATTTATATGACTAATTGGATTAGTTTTATGATGACAAACAGACTGTTCTGTTAAAATATAAATAAATAATGCTTAACTTAGCAACAATACTTGTTCGTATAATCACAATTGATTGATCACTGGGTGGTGATCAATGTCATGTGTGTCAAATCCTTCTTAGTGCAGATCGAATGCTATCGACCAAGTTGCACTGTAGCTACTAGTCTAGGTGACTCGACATAACGTGCACTATGTTGGGATTAGAGGGTGGTTGGAGGTAGTCAACAGGGAACCCTGGACTCGGGTTCCGTGCTGCTTGGCACTCGTCAGCACGGTGTACCTGTAATCTTGATGCAACTGGTGCTTCCTGACGGATTTGATCCCTTATCATACAGCTTCACAGTCAGAGATGCTACCACTAGGCTATCCGGGTCGTGACCGACCTCCTGCATGACTGAGATGTAATCACAATTGATTGATCACTGTGTGGTGGTCAATGTCATATGTGTCAAGTCCTTCTTACTAGTTCATATATGTTAGTCAATAACGTAGAACTTCGTACGTACGTACGTCAGTTCGAGTTGCCATACCACATTAGCACAGAGATACAACCGTCGATTCAAATCCCATAGTGGTAGAGGTAGTAAAAATATGAGCAGTAATCGGAGAAATTAAGGTTTGAACATGTTATTCAAGGAGTATAATCCAGTGAAATAAATTTGGAAAGAGAAAAGGAAAAGTGACATCGAGAATTCAGACGATTAGAGTTCGGGAGAACACAAATAGTGTGTGCACCTGCGCCACTGCAAACGATTTTGAGCCATTTCATTCAGGGTCTCTAACCATCGGTTGCTATCATCTCGCAGTCCCCAACCAGGTAGTCTACACCTACCAACATGACTCAGTCCACTTGTCAGTGACTTCATGGACTTGTGCCATGTTTCGGTCTGGCCGCCTTTAGCTTTCTTCCAACCTACTGTACACTATAAAACATCGCTTGTCGTGGCAGTCGGAGGTTGGGCATATGTAACACGTGTCCCAGCTATCTCAACTGATGAAATTTCACTACTTCATAAAAGTTCATATATTCACCCGTAGCCGATTCAAATTTGCAATGTGGAAATAGTTGGTTAGTCTGTATCGATCGCTCTGACAAGGAAATAAACTATACAGTAGAATTATTTAGACCGTATGATATTACAAATTAACCTTCCCTCTAATCGATCACCACTTTTAAATGTTGGTACTTAATTTATCTAGCCCCAATCAGGTATATATGTGCATAAGTTTTGATAGGCCTTTACAAGTAGTCTACATAGAATAGACTACTGGTAATCTCCGACTTAATAAATACGATTTAGGTATCACGTATGTAGTTGCATGGTTATGTATTTTGATTTATCTACTTGAAATTGAGAAAATGCTGAATAGCAATGCAGTGTATATAGTTTTCGGGTGGTAATCAATTCACTGGGTTTAGTCTGTTCTTACCAGGTTGTATGTATATCATCTTTATTAAGCTACTGACTTAACATGAAATACATTTGGTTGGTGGCATATTAACTCTTCCCTATTTGTTTGCACAGTAATTTTAGTTATAATACGATCGTACATTAAGCTAATAATTCGCCCCCCCCCCCGATATTAATAGCTATGAAAGAGACTATTTATGTCATTTTCTTCCCTACCTCTTCGTTATATTATAATGAGCATAAGTCAAGGGAACGAAAAATCGCTTAGCACTAATTATACTAAGAAAATATTTCATTGAATTTGACCATAAGTCAAATGAACGGAAATTACACTGAATCTATACAAAATTCACAGTTGAATCAGTGTAAGATCCTTCATTTAATTCTTTATTACTAAATTGTCTTTGGGAACTTAACATCCTCCAAGATATTAGTAGTTCATAAACCTCAGAGAAAGCGATTGCATTTATCATTTTAAGGATTACAGCGAATATTTTATTGACTATATGTTGACTATATAGCTGACGTCTACCGTGCTAATTTATGTGAGACCAATCAGCATTTTGGATCAGGAATTTGTTGTATATCCAACGTTATGGGTGGTATTTTCTTATCGGAGGGTATCACTCGTTCTATGGATAGAAGTAAGCAGACTAGTAGTGAATGGATCTTTATTTATGTCGTGGAAAAGAACAGTTGGAAAGCGAGGTTATCTTCTTCAAGCATACAATTTTTTTCAACATTCAACGTAAAATAATAAAGCGAGATAATACCTATACAAATTAAGGAAGTGAATGAATCTTTGAGCCATGATTTTTTGACATTATTAAGATGCATGCAGCCAAACATCAAACAACCAACCAATCCGAGTTGTTGCAGTATCACACTAGCCCCCACTAGGTGTCTACAAGAAATTGATTTACGATCTTCTTGTCTGTAATGTAGATGAAACTATCTTCTACGCGACTTTGGTTGGCGCTAGAAGCCATCAGCGATCGATTATTGTGGCGTTTCTTAGAGCCGAATTAGCCCAGCTTTGTGTACCTTTATGCTTTGGTGCCAAATCAGATTCTACACCAGAAAGTGTTAAGGCAGCTGGTGCCTTTTGTACGTCTCAATTTTATTTTAGATCTATTTATAAATTGTTTTGTTGCCATGGTCGCGATAGCTGCACTGTTGGTAAACTTAGCGTTTACTTAGATTTTGTAAGGTAGTTGCTTTGTACGATCTCTAGTTCATAAACCTCAGAGAAAGCGATTACATTTATCATTTTAAGAATTACAGCGAATATTTTATTGACTATATGTATGACTGTTACAAGAAGTGGCAGGAAACTAAACTTCTCATATAAAACAAATTCATGCATAAAAACAGCAAACTTTTATGGAGCTAGTCGTTCGTATACCCAACCATTTTCTCCAACGTGTACTAGGTCAGATCCATTTATTTCTGGAATTTGATCACAACGACGAAATCTAATACGATCATGCAGTCTGTTTGTTTGACCTTGCCAAAACTCAATTGATTTCGGAGACAGAATATATCCTCCCCTAGCAAAATATAAATAATAGATTTTTTCCAACGTTATCAACAATGTGTTATCTTGTACAAACGTGGATCGGTACAATTTGTCACATGAAAATAGGATGCACACAACTACCACTATGAAAGTCATACGGTTCGAAACAATAATAGTATTATCAGCGATAGTAAAAGCTAAGCATATAGAATTTAGTCTTTAAAAATGAAATTGAAAGACAAATACCGTGAAATAATGTTAAAACGCAGGAACTGAAGAAAGATGAAGAGTGAACGGAATCTTGCCAGTGCAAAATATTTCGTCTAGTATCAACCACGGTATGTAGTCATAGGTTGCGGTTCTATAAAATAGTCAATGATTAATTTGGCTTCATTTAGCCTGTCAAACTAGAACTATTTTAGTCACTATGACGTGTCATGGTGGCCAATGTTCTTCTACATTTCTGAAGCCTCAGTGAATGAAAGTTCACAACACCGTCGAACGGTTTATAATCTTTACCTAGTAACTACATCTAACTTCAGTATTACCAACTTGGTTTTATAGAAACGCCACATCCCATAATCAAAACAGGAACAATCCATTATAGCCAAACCAACGTTGTGACTGACTGAGCCAAACTGACTAATAATTGCTGAAAATGTTGAGATGCATGTTAATATACCATAAACTTAATGTCTTTAGTAGCGAAATTCACGCATATAAAAGATATAAATGCAGAAGCAGGTTTTATATTTTACGATGAATTGTTGTAATAACAAGTGGTCAACATAATCAGCCATCGTTTAACTCAGTAGCAGCTACAGGTCAGCATTTTAATCTTATTGGTGTTAAGTAATGAAAACTGCCTGCACTCATGAAGAAACTTAAGAATCGTAGGGTCCAAATCTACTGTTTTTTTAGCATAGTCATGGTTTGACTGATCAACAGACTCGACATAAATTTTGTGAAACCACATAATTGGCTAATCATTACAACAAATTACCTAAGAATAGAAAATGAGTAAGTTTAAAATTTACCAACTGAATATGAGAATCTATCGTGTTACTTGTAAAATTAGTAACGAGCAAATAACTAAATCGGTTTTTATATATGCTTAATTCTGTTGTTTTTTTATGTGATATATGTCGTACAGCCAGATGAATTCATCATTGTATTTCTGATCACTCATTATGGTGGATCAAAGGATAATAGAAAACAATAAGAAGCCATGATCTACTACGTTTCGCCGATACTAGCCGTCATATCAGTATTTCACCTTTTAAAGTTATCAACAGAGTTCTACTGAACTCAAAACTAAGACTCCTACATACAACAGAAGCCATAGAAATACACATGAACAAACCTTATCTTCTGCATACAGGAGACGCTTTTATGGCTCCTTAATCTACCTTAGCCTTCTACTTAGTCACTTCTACATTTCTCAGGAAAGTGTTTTAGAGTCTACCTTGCCGATTCCATTTTATGTTTTGGTTTTATTCTTACGTAACTTGTCTGTATAAGCTGATTATCTAATTTTTGGCACAATCTTTATTACTTATCCATTATCAATTTTACAAGTAGCATTATTCATTCATATTCAGATGGTATGAATTTTCACCATTTATTTGATATGGATTTCATACTTAACCGTAAACCAATATATTTGTAAAGAGCTATGACCAGGAACTAACTAGAAAGAAAAACCTTTTTCCTTTGACTAATTTGTAAATAGGAGAGATATTTAGACGATTAGTGCCTGTTTGACATGTAAGACTAGAAATCTGAATGTTAGATATCATGTACCATATCAGAAGTAACTAAGTTAATTAGTCTTCTGATATTGAAAATATAGGTAGATAATGATATGATTCCCACTAAACATAAATAGTTAATTCATAAAGGCATATATTAGGAACGTACCAATTTGAAGGCTTTGGAAGCTTTTCTCTCGCAGCATATTCGTTTTCTAATTCTACGTACTTTTTGTCCAGAAACTATTTGAAGCGAGAAAAAAAACTATACTATTATCCTAAGACGTTGTGAACCAATTCGATATGGTGTAGTCAGATGAAAAAATGGTCGAAGAAATATAAATGACTACTTATATATTGCACTCTAGCATCAAGAATCCTACCACATGAACAAATAACATTGAGGAAGAAGTAGTGAAAAACGAATGAAGTGTAAGGTTTAAAGTTTCTGTAGTAAATAAACTGATTGAACACCTATAAAAAATGAGGTGGTTGAACAAGACGTCACATACATACAGTTTATCTGTGCATGGTATGTTGGTTAAGAGATCATAAAAAGATTCATAGTTAATATAAAAAGATAGAGTACCGATTGCAGAAGTTCAAAATTGTTGTTTTGATATGTTTATTTGTAATGAATAAAATACATAGAATGGAGATTGAGTAGTTGAGGTTAGTTGACATAACAAAGATTTACATAATGGGGATTTATTTACATGCTCTTTCAAGACAATTTAAAGATTAAACTGTCAGAATCATCTGAGCTTTAAGTAATTTATGAATCTTAACAAGTTCTAGACCACAGTTATTATCAGAAATATTTTAATGAAAGTTTCGGTCTCTTCCTTATATGAACATAAAAGTTGCGTTCGATTAAAAAAATATCGTAGGAATCCATATATATATATACTGAAGTGAGAAGAAAATTCGTTAATCCAAATAATGTCCTATTCATGGTGATTTTACTTAGATTAATCACGCCCATCATCTATTTCACCACTTACTACATACAAAGTATAAGAAGTATGTGTATTATATTATATATCAACAGATTAGAAATGCTACGCTTACTGAGATAATCAGAATTCACAGTCAAAATATGAAGTTTACATCTATGAGGAAACATTCTTTAGTATGTTTAGATGAAGAGCGCTTTAGTACAATCAAACACTAACTTTCAGTAAGATACTGTATTCATTTCAGATATTGAACTTACTTCACGACAAGGAATTGGTTCACTTTGTGAACTAACTGTAGCAGAAATTTGACTAGCCTTCGGGCGGGACTGAAAATATTCTTCACTCTCTACCTCTGAAGCACGTGAAACAACGCCTTCCACACGTACCTACTCAGAAAATATAATTTGAATGAATGTATCTAGAAATATTTTTGATAGGAAGCACATGAAACATAATTTTTAACACATCAGTGAACCGTAACTACCAATCTTGTGGTAATTTTGTACTTACTGTTAAGATGTTAGTAATTTTCCAAAATAATTCTTTTACAGTATACGCTACGGGCCTCAAGATGGTAGGGAATATTTTTATTTCAGGTAGATGATTTTGGTGAGCTTTCATTGAGTCAAACTACCTAACTCAGAGAATGAAAGTTTACCGAAATCTGTGAACTTCACTTTAATATTGAAGACGGCAAATAATATATTTTAAACCACATTTTACTATATCTACAATTAGTTTTTCCCTAGGTTATTTTAAAGAATGAGTTGATAAATGTTATGTCTGATTCTGTTTTGACTGCGGGATGCTTAACTGATTTGGCCTCTAAAAGAAATCAAAACGATATAAAAATATACCAACTTTTATATGATTTAACCGTCAGACTCGTATGAATTAAAATGAGTAACATTTAACACTAATGAATCAGTAACTTACTGTGTGAACACATTTAGAATCTCACATAATGAAGAATCTATAGCCAACAGATATGACCAATTTAATACTTAGTTACTTACGCCTGTTATTCCCAATGGAGCATAGGCCGCCGACCAACATTCTTCAACCCACTCTGTCCTGGTCCTTTTTTTCTAGTTCTATCTAATTGTTGTTCACTCTCCTCATATCTGTTTCCATTTTTCAGTGTAACGTGTTCTTTGTTCTTCCTCTTTTCCTTTGGCCCTAAGGATTCCAAGCGGGGATGTTGGGTGGGTTCAGTGGGGCTGGTCGATTCAAGAGTTCCTTGGAGTGCTCTACCCACATGTTTCGCTGTTCTTAAACGTTAGTGATTACTTTGCCCTCCTTGCTTTTCACTGGTCGTTCTGGTTTACGATAATTTCCAGCGAGCTTCTTTGTTGCATCATACTATTGTCTCATTTTTGTTTTCTTGCAGCCTTTTCCGTCATCATTGCTAGGTCTTCCACATATTTACGTTTGTTGGTTCTGATGCTCCTCTTCACTTGCTTGTTTACTTCTGTGTATTTAGCTTGTGTCTTGGCTTTCTCTGCTCTTGTTCGGTTGATATTGATTGCTGTCTTCTTGTTCCTCCTTTTTTGAATCTTATCTAATGTGTCAACCGTGATGCATTCCTTGTGATGGTGCTTCTTGTGACCCAAAACCTCATGACATATTGAAGTGATTGCCTCCTTGATCCTCATTAGAATGAGTTTACATGTCACAGATGATTAAGTTCATGTCATTCGCACTCTAATCGATCAAGTCATTGGTCTCCATGTAAATAAAAATATGCATTCATTGTAATAATCATTCAATCTACTTGTTACAATAATATGATTAAATGAATTGAATATGCATCAAGGAATTAAAGCTATTGTTTATGCACCGAACATTCAAACATAATAGTATGACTATGAACTATTTGACAGATAAAAAGTGATCACTGACGGATAAAAACGAATATTACTAACGGTCTTTCATTTCTGCCTGTTGTAACACATGTCAATAACAAGTACTTTTAATGGCCCGTTGATCTGACTCCAATTTCAAAGAACGAATGGATATTTAATGAGTATAAGTCTTCTACTTAACTCCGTATAATACACCTAGGCTAACCCCGTTTGTGTGACTGTGGTAATAAAGAAGCCAAATACGCGTTGGGTTGGATGGGTTTATTTCAAGCATTAGTTTATTCAGACAGATATTTAGAATGAAAAGTGAGAAAGTGAGACGGAGAAGGCGAGTAAACCAATTCGTTTTAATCAAGAGTGACTTAATATTTATGACCAAAAATAAACCAAAGACATGTGATGAATAGGGTAAACAATACGCACACAAACATACGCTTAAATGAAAAGTTAATGTTATAAGCGGATAATTGACAAGGTCAAAATGTGAATTAAGAAGAATGGAGAAATCAGTCTTTCCCGAAGTCATAATAACCCGGATGGGCTTGGCACAGTACTAGACACAACACAGGTAAAACAAAATGTCCAGCATAGTATATATGCTTTAATAGTAGGCTGCAATTTAACCGGAATCTTCTGAAATCTCACCAAATGCTTTTTTGACACAATAACCTATCTCATAGGAAAGAATACAGCTGAAACAATGCATAGGATTCAGAAAGAAGAATATACATCATAGACATCTGAAACATTGTTCGTGTCAATCCAATTTCGATATTTCCATAATGATGCTAATATGTTGACAGTTTGTCAATTTATCAATCATGAATAACATAGAACATCGAACATATTTTAATTAGTTGAAGTTGCGAAATCATATCAGCACATCAGAAAGATTATTAAGATAAATACTTTAGTAGTAGAAGTAAAAGTATTAGTGACAGTTTAAAACATTAAGAAAGAACTGAACTATTCGGGAAGAAAGAACTAATTTGCGCAAAAAAACAGTATAAACTAGATTTAAAACTCAGAATTAAAAAGAAAACAAAGCGTGAATGTATTTGCTCTCGAGGCATCTTGTTGACTCTAATATGACGATAGGCGATAACGAAATATAAAGCCTTATTTACTTCATAGATGTTCTGTCAACTATACCTGTTAACAACAACGGAAATTGAGAAATTTCATAGGTTGAATTCATGAGTCGATTGAAGCTAGACCACCATGGAAAACCTGGAAGCACTGGACGGCCGTCTCGTCCTAGTATGGGACTCCCCAGCAGTGCGCATCCACGATCCCGCACCACGCGGGGTTTGAACCCAGGACCTACTGGCTTCGCGCGCGAGTACTTAACCACCAGACGACTGAGCCGTCATCCAACGGTGTTAATGTCTAACTTCAACCAATCCACGAAGTTGCGCCACCGTACACCATTGTCTTCAGTGAGTTGTTATCTCACAATAGACCTGGTTGAACTCCGCTGGTAACGGCTTCTCACCAGGTCTGTTGTGAGATAACAACTCACTGAAGACAATGGTGTACGGTGGCGCAACTTCGTGGATTGGTTGAAGTTAGACATTAACACCGTTGGATGACGGCTCAGTCGTCTGGTGGTTAAGTACTCGCGCGCGAAGCCAGTAGGTCCTGGGTTCAAACCCCGCGTGGTGCGGGATCGTGGATGCGCACTGCTGAGGAGTCCCATACTAGGACGAGACGGCCGTCCAGTGCTTCCAGGTTTTCCATGGTGGTCTAGCTTCAATCGACTAATGGTTTCAACCTATGGAATTTCTAAAAAAACTCTCCACAAAACCCATTTTGGAAATTGAGAAGTTGAATCCGAGAGTATTTTGAATACTAATAACCTATGAATATCCTCTATTTTTAAAGGCCGACTTCCACAGCGATAGAGCAGAACAAAACTTACTTCCATCCAGTATACTCGTACCATTGTTGGAAAACAGGTATCTCGCTTAGACCATAAGTAGCACTGGTTGATAATGTTATAGTATAACAGACGCTAATAGTTTATGCAACTAAATAAGGTCGCAAATACATTGGTAACTCGAATGATTTTTTATTCATTACAATATCCACAACTAATTCATTGTAGTATCATATATATATATATATATATATATATATATATATATATATAAACTTTAATTATCCTGTACAATTAGTGCGGCTTGTATGCATGGGTAGTGTCACAAAACTCAACAGCCAATAAAATTTTCAAATGAAAAAGACCCTAGTCAAGATCCACTGATCATGCTGACATCCAATTAATTACCGATAGGCTATTCAGTGAGACTTAATATTCTGACTAATAAAATTGTGATAAAAACCAAAATTCAACATTTCTAACATATTTCATATGTATGTCTAAAATATGACATGTAATAAATCAGTCTAAGGACGTTATATCTTCTTTTTGTTGTACATATCAATTGAAGATTTATCACCTTGTACATTTGGTAGAAATTTTCATCTTCATATAGATTGCAATTGTGGTTTTAAAGAAAATTAGAAATGTTTTAGAACAGAACACTAATAATTACCATATTTTTGTTGTGACGGTAAGTGTCCGAAATCTGATACTGATACACGACGCGCTACGAGCTGAACCCCCCCCCCCCGACTGACTATCCGAGCGAGAACACGAGATTGGACGATAAAGAACATTGTGCTACCAAAAAAATGCACAGCCACTCATTTATATATATACAACTCTACTACTCCCTCCCAGAAAATCAATCCATTTCTTAGCCAATGAAATGCACTAGTCTTTCAGGTCACTACTAATTGCCATTGGTTGACATAATTTGGCTACTCCTGATTGGATGATCATATCAATTTTCATTACCCCCAAATTTACCATTTAGTGTTTACATACGACGTGAGTAATGATCAAATACCTATGAATTACGCATAACTTTCATCCTTAATGATTAAGTCTCAAGAGATGCAAACTAAAATAAAGAAATACCAATAGATAAATTCATCTTTCGGCATGTAGTCAGGGGTCCAACCCACCAACCATATGTGTTGATGAGTGCTAAAAGAACCTTTTGTATTCATGTTGAGATTTTGTAGACTACCAGTCGTTTATCAGGGTCGATTTAACTCCTTAAATAAAGAATCGAGTGATTCAAATAAACGTGATTACTGACTGCTTTAAATATAATTAATCAATTGCATTTATTTTATAGTTTATCATTAATTGGTGATCAAAACTTCTTTGATATATATGTACATCTATAAGAACAATAAAAGTCAATCCAATGAATAAAAACTAAATTTTTGAGAGCGATGTTCACCAGGTTTTGATCCTGTGATAGCATAAAAAATTACTTAAACTACAACGTAATGCTACACCTGAATCCAATTTGTAATCAATTTCAGTTACTATCTAACGAAAATTCAGACAAATTAAAAGCCTTATTCTTTTGCTGTTGCCTGGAGGACTTTCTAATCTTGAGTATGCGGATTATATTGTCCTACTGTGTTACCTGAACTTTCCGAGTTGAAGATGTTAGACAACTCTGTGTTTGATTACCGTCGTCTCCAAAGGATTGCTAACATCCAGTAGCAACACTATTTTAGCAATGCAGAGGTTCTTCATTGTGTGTTCGGACACAGCGATGATGATTCAATTGTTGTCACTTTCGTGAAACATCGAGTTCGGTGGCTTGAACATGTTTTACGAATGTCTGCGTAGAGACTTCCACATAGTACATTATTTGCCGACTCTGGGACCGGTTGGAAAAGGCGGAGAGATGGTCAGTGTATGACATGGTGTCGTGGTATGAAAGAAAGCTGCTGTTGGTCCCTCACGACACCCTGATTGGGGTCCTAGAGGTGATCCAATACAGTGGCTAGAGACGTTATCAGACATGACACAGAATAGAATCCAGGGGCGATCCTGCCGTGACATTCTTTTACTTTCTTCATAAGAATGAACGTATCTTCTTTAATTGAAAGAACTTTTTCTGGTTGTACTTTTGCCAACTGAGCTGTCTGCAACCACTATTATCATTATTACTTCACTCGAATGCACTAATTTCTATTCCGTTTTGCTCTATTTTATTATACTCATCTTCCTCTCTCTATCACCTTACAATCTTTGTTATTGTGTGGCGCATATGTATCTGGTGCCTCTTGCACCAATGTTTGTGTCCAGGTAAATAATACATTATGAGCTTGATGATCTAAAAGTTTTAGACCGGTTAAATGGACAAATCATTTGGTCATCATTACTTGAAAGGGGATTTAAGATTTGGCTTAAAGATTTCTAAATGATCAACTGTTCTTACCTGACGTTTAAGAGGTTCCCAATAAAAAACAAGACTTGCATGTGGATTACTATCAAGCTCTTGAGCTTTTCTGCTATTATAATTAGTGAAAAAATGAAATCCATTTTCATCCAATTCTTTCAAAAGAACAAACCGTACACTTGGAATACACTGTCTGACAAGAAAATTTTCGACATAAATTGATTAATAAGACAAGTATGAGGAAATAAAAGCATTAAATCAACTGTGAATGAAAAATAAACACTTTTATACAATACCTTATGATAGTTCTTTTAGCGTTAAAATCTTCACCAGTATTTGTGTAACAATGTTCTTGGTTTAATTAATGTGAAATATCTCGACAATTCTGTTTATAAACAATAATTTTATGGGAACATTTTAGGTAAATCTCTATTAAAATTACGCAAAATTTAGTCTCATTTCACAGTGGAACCTGTATTTATGGTTTAATATAAAAATTATCCTGGTAATAAATGGAGCTTTATATAAGTATATATTTTTGATTTCATATTCATTTCCAAATAACTGGTCAGTGACCAATGCTCCACGAAGAGTAACAGATGTAAGTCTAAATAACAGCTTGATATAAGAAATTAATCGACAACATTTCTTTTAAAAACACCATGGGTATATATTATGTGATGAAATTGCGTTTACTTTCCCCACCAATCTTTGAATCTCTGAAGTTAGTGAACATAAGTCTAAGTAACAGGATAGACAAACGACTTTGAATGGCGAGAATTTCAGACCAAAATACTTGGAATACCAATCTGTATGAAAGATTTCAGAAAAAAATTTTCAAAAGAAGTGAATAGACGTCATCGATAACACGTTTTTTTCTGAACACCCATTTACACAAACGAGGGGTTTAAACAATTTTTTACTGGTTTTTCTAGGATATAGTTGTCATTCAACCTTAGAAAAAACTGATGGAGTAACCTGGAAGCACCAGAAAAGAATGATATTGAATAATCGTAAAATAATATAGCTTTATTTTTGAAATGTATCTATGGATTGGTGTATTGAGCTTTTTTATCTTCGAATAATGATCACTACAAAAGTTATGATTGGCACCCCTAATCAACCGTCTGCTAATTCGAATTCTTCTTTAACTTGATAAAAACATGTCAGAATAGTACGTTTAATTTAAGAGCTATTTTGAACAACAAGAGTCTACAAAAACAAACGTTTAGTACTTTTCATTGAAGTTCATCAATATATGGGAAAAAGATTGCTCTAAGATCAAAGAGAAATTTCAGCCAACATTGATTGATGCTAGAAATGTTTTCTATAATTTCTATATCAGTAAACCAACGGCCTATAATCCAGTAATATACAGGCCGACGGTCCATAACTACGTTTAATGTTAGTTATTAACAACAAATGCTATAATTCCCTCTTAGATGCATTCGATACCTGGTGATGACCACTTTTTGAGAACTTACTATAATAACCACTAACAGTTAGTTGACAGAGTTACAACATGAATGCCTAAACACTCACATCATCAAAGATAAACTGAACATCTTGAGTTTTCATAAATTCGATTAAGACTCACTGACATGAATATTTCCTACGAATATATATAACCGTTTCAAACATCGAATATTTTTTAACGATTACAATATATTAGAACAAGGTCCTAGATAGTCCATCAAGCCAAGTATACTTCCATCAACTAGGGAAGAGCCATAAATTTATAACACGCCAAATAATAAAGATATACTTCTATGGTTACTGACCTCCAACTTAAAACTGTACATGATTGACCATATGCTACTGTTATATATTCAGCAAATAAATGACCATTTGTTGAGTCTAACAATTGGCACATGATTTACTATTTCTTCATAACCGCGCTAAAAGTTAACATTGCTTTTGGGTACGGATGTGTACTCACTCATAATTGTATGCAATCAAATCAGAACAAAGTAATTTTCAATTAATCTTTGACTACATATCTTGTACAATGGAAGTGTAACTTACAGAAATATAATATGAGAAAAACAAATATCGCAGTAACTTACTTGCTACACGTTGCAAGAGCCATTGCATTAGGTTCAAAAACATTTTCACATTTGATAGCTTCTTCAAACCACGACTTAAACAAAAGTAAAGGATCTTTGTACTTTAAATTTATAATATCGAATATATCATTGGATTTTCTATATGGAACTCGTAAATCTAAAATTACAGACACAATTAGCAGAAGCAAATGCTAGCACTTACGGCTAATTTTCAGTTGGTTGTTCATGGTTGACAGGCTACAGTAGAACGTTCGTAGCATAAAAATCTGGCAACAAATTAATTTCTTCCTATGGAAATATCTTCAAACCAATAAAAGAAGCTGAAGTGCTAAGATAAGAAAAGCAATGAACTTTTTAACACAAGACATAAAGATACACTTTTTGACAAAATATTGTTTTGAATTTTTCGGTGATTTGGTGTAATCTAATTTAGTAAATTTTGATCCCATCATTTTATTTGGTGCATACTGTTTAAGCGGTAAGAGAAAAGTTGAGAATACATAAGTAGCTATTCGAGTTATAAAATTTAAAGTCCGATTATGCTAACTTATTCTTTTGTATTTGTACGAATTCGTCATCAATTTACGGCTTTATTGTATACTGCTGAAAGGTTAGCCAACCAATAGTAATGAACATCAGTACATGGTTCAAAACTTACCTAAGTGCGATTCCGGAGGAGCAAGTGAGTAACTACAAAAAAAAGTCGTTATAACTCATTACTTTCTCAATTTTGTGCCAGCGATGCTCATTTAATAATCTCATTACATGTAAACAGTCCTTAACAGGTGCTGATAATCAGACATGTGAAGCCTTCTTGTCCACAATTAATTATTATACACAAACAAAGTAACAGGGGTTACAAATGTGTAGCAAAATCATGACTCTGGTGAAAAGTTAAAACTCTCGTCAGAGACCTAGGTGACAAGAGAAAGTTCTAGACGACTTCTATACTTAGAGCATGAGATTATAACTAATCTCCATAAAAAGACGAACAGAGCGGAGAAATGCTAACCTTCAATTAGTGTGTTTTCAAGGCTTTCACCAATATATATATATATATATATATATATATATATATGATTTGGAACAATGAACTAGAATCAATCGAACTTTAACTTACCCCTTTTCTTATGACGTGCCTACATTCATTCTGCTTTTGTGTTTTCGCATAGTTTTGACATTCATTCCTTTACCCTATTGTTGATTCAACGTTTTGTCAAGACATTTTGTTAATCCTCTCATTAAATATGATTAAGGTTGGCATAGTTATTTTTAATTTACATATCCTAGTTACTTTATCACACTTTCAATTGCTTAGAAAATTACTCGACATTACTTCTTTGATTACTCCTAAGAGTATAACACTACAACTCACTACTACATAATAATTATTATATTATTGTAAAACACGTCTTAGAGCGAAGGAATGATGAGAAAGTAAGAACAAGATTATGTCATACCAAGGACTTTCAGAGTTCATCGGCAGGCTTCAGGCTAGTCAACCAAGATGCAGCTTTCGTGTAAGACCTCTATAATATAGGAAGATGATAGAAGTATGAAGGATGGGACGTTTGAAAACCATTTATGGGCTTCTTGATGCTAAATATAAAAACTTCAGGTTTGATATCACTTTTTGAGGTAAAAGACCCAAAAGTTTAGCTGTACATCTTCGAAAACGTAACTCCCAAACCAAAATTTTGGCGAAAGTGCGACAATTCGGCGGATATTTAGGTGAAAATTCGCAAATTCAGTGGATATTTAGGCAAAAGTGCGACAATTCGGAGGATATTTAGGCAATAAGTCGGTAATTTGTCGACAAAACGACGAAAAAGGGGAAAATCCGCATTATTTCCCCCGGACAGGCGAAAAAGGCGACATTCTGATGCGTTTTCCCCTTTATTTCCCCTTTCGCTACCAAAGAATTTACCCATTGATTTCCCCTTTGTTCGCCTTTATTTCCTTTTTTTGGGTTGCTTGGTAAACTCCTCGCACATAACTCAGAACCCTAAAACTTTATAATTCGGGCTCCTGATCCTAAAACCACTCGACTCTACATTATAACTACAAAAAAGTTTGACCCATTTTGGGTAAGCCGATATAGTCTCGTCCTGACAGTTCACAACGAAATAATTTGGAAACAATCAGCAACAAAGCAAGCATCATATTAAAATAATCTTATGATCAAAAGCGTGAAATGAAATATCAAAAATACCCCAAGGGCATCCTAAGCGTCGCTTATTTTTCACAGTCTAGTTAAACTTCAACTAGCCGGTTATGTTGAATTGTGGTGTTTTACACTTAGTTTACAGTCACGATGATTTTTAAAGGGCTATGAAGAGGAAAAAAGGAACGGAGAAAATGTGAGCTAAATTCGGAAGGCGCGAAACGTGTAGTACCAAGTGATTAACACTTGAAACCTACTATCAGAAATGGTTGCCACGAAACTACAGAACAACGAGGAGTCAAAACGTTCAGAGAGGGGATTTAAAAGCCTACACGCCTTGTCCATCTTGCGGACAATTAAAAAAAATACGCAAAACAAAAGACACAAAAGTACCCAATCCATTCGTATTACTAGCAGCGACAGTTTTTTTTCTTTCTCCAAAAATGTGTATATAGTTAGGTTGATTTTGCACGTTTACCTGTCTGATCATATTTCTTTTTTTCTCATAATTATGAATTAATGAATTTTTGACTGCTTTCATTCGGTATTTTAAGAGCTTTTCCTCTTGCGAAAATAACAAGAAACTCGCAGTTTTTCTTCATTTTAGTCGCAGGACGTTATTTTTATATCTTGACGAGAATAACGGACATTAACAGCTGGGATCTATTTATGAACGAATTTATTGTATTTAGAATTTAATATCGGGCACACATCAAATACAAAAGAATCATCAGATCATGCGAACACCACAGATGAACAAGAAGACAGCAGTTAACAACAGTCGAACAAGATCAGAGAAATTCAAAGCACAAACTGAAAACATAGGAGCAGACAAGAAAAAGAAGAAGAGCATTAGGGCAGACAAGCAGAAATACATCGAACATCTACTAGTGACAGAGGAAAAGGCTGCAAGAGAAGGAAATATCAAACAAACATATGACACAACGACGAAACTGGCAGGGAAATATAGTAAACAAGAAACACCAGTCAACGACAAAGAAGACAATCCATTCACTAATATTAGAGGACAGAGTAACATCTGGGCTACCTGTTATTGCCATTCAGACATTTCAATAGGTCATCTATTTTGTTTGTTTTAGTACATCATGTTGACCATTAATCGCACAACCTATTTAGGCGCGTTTCTGAAATGTGTACAACCTGACGTTTTCTGCCGTGTTAATATGTAGCGAAAAGTATGTACATTATTTCGATGTCGAGTTACAGGACTGCTAACATCTACCGTCAGTATCGACCAAGAAGGAAGAAACGGAAACTTGTTGAAACACTTTGTGCTGAGAATTCTTGATTGTACCAAAAACAAAATATCGGACAAGCCTTATAATAAAAAATAGGAGAGAAATCAATGGTAATGTGTAGAGAAAATTTGGGAGAAAGAACGAGTACCGACAGACTGAGAAAAAGGATATCTCGTCAAAATACCGGAAAAAGGAGATTTCAGCGAATGTGAGAACTACAGAGGCATCAAACCATTGTCAGTACCAGGAAAAGTTTTCAATAGAGTGTTGCTGAACCGGATCAAAGATATAGTAGACGTCTAGTCTCCAGGTCAACAGACGGGACCCCATAACGACCGGTTGTGCACACACCAAATCGTGACACAAAGGATCATCGTTGGACAGTGCAACTCGTCACTATGCAATAACTTTTGTGATTATGAGAAAGCCCTTGACCCTGTGAATAGAAGAACATTTTGTAAACCTCTTTGATACTATTGTGAGTAACTGGGAAAATCGTCAACGTTATACGAAATTCATACGATGGACTTCACTGCAAAGTCATGGATGAAGGACAGATGACAGAGGCATTTCATGTAAGCACCTGATTCACACAAGGCTTCTTACTCGTCCCCTTCCTCTTTCTTCTTTTGATTGACTGGATTTTGAAGGCTCAGACATCGGAGGGAAAGCACGGAATACAATGGACTGCTTGGAATCAATTAGAAGATCTGGACTTCGTAGATGACCTGATCCTTCCATCCCATACACATCAGTACGTGCAGGTGAAGACAACTAGTGTAGCAGCAGCTCTGCATCAGTAGAATTCAGCATACTCAAGGGAAAAACCAAGATCCTCAAATTCAACACAGAGAACACCAGTCCGATCTCACTTGGTGGAGAAACTCTGAAACAGATGGAATCTTCCGCTTACCTGGTCAGCACGCTAGGGCAAAACAAAGATTCATGGATTCCAATTAACTGCCTATAATCAAATGATATAAAATCGTTCATAGTGATCACAAATTAAATTAGATGCATACGATTTGTAAAACTAGGGCCTCATTCCTAAAGTTGAGGAACATATGGAACTCAAAACAACTGTTGACCAATATCAAAGGATCTTTAATACGAACGTCGAAACAGTCTCAATGTACGGAGCTGAAACTTCAAGGACTACTACTGTAGAATTATAGTCTACTTCGTTATTAGTACTGCTTTAATAATAGACTTAATCCTAAAGTTGTAGATTTGTCATGATGTAACTGCCTAATCTATAAGATCTTACGTGGATGTCACATCATTATCTACCCTGACTCATTCGCATTGTAACAATCATTATCATATGACGAAAAACACATTTCGAATAGGTAGGACCACGCCTGCAAAGCCGAGCAACGCCATTTGATCAACTCGAACTAATTGAATTAATTCTTCCCGCCTTCTCCATTGTTGGGTTTTTCTCCGCTGTAAATGTTGAGTATCTATTTTCTCAGTTGTCTCTTCTTCAGGTTTGGAGATTGTGTATTTAGAGCCCAATAGCACTGCACTACAACCATATTGAAAAAATATAAGTATTTACTAATAAATATTTACACAAAATATTGAGTGTCCGTTGACCGATACCATTAGCAACAACCTACCGTGGGAGAGAACTAACCAGCTTTCAAGTGAAGATGAAATTAGAAAAAGAATTTGGAGTTGGATATGACATACACTGAAGAGATCATCAGACTGCATCACGAGGCAAGCGGTAACTTGAAATCCTGAGTGGACACTGTTCAGCGCCTGGTGTAAATCTTCTTATTCGTTGTACGTTTGGCTTCAAGGATCCTGTAGTTAACAGCCAATGTTTCTGCATATCATTTTCTCACTAACAGTATGTGACATGTGCTTTTGGTGAACAGTTATGAAACTTTATACTTTGTGCTTTCTGAGTGACCCTGGCATCACCCTGTGTTTGTCTTCCCGTTCTTATTCTGCAGCCAAAAGAGCATACTCTCCATTAGGGATTCTTTTGAGAAAATTAGTTAACTGAATTTCAGAAACACAAACAGCTCTGGGTCTGTGAACATTTTGAAGTGTCCTTATAAATCCTCTGTTGTGGAAAACAAGAAAAGTTAGGGTGCATCAGATGAAAATTTGCCATTTAATAACTTGAAAACTCTAATGAAGTTCATTCTGGTTCTTCAATACGACAGCGGAAATCAGTTTAGCTTGGTCAGTCGAGAATCATGCGGGAGCCTCGTTATTTCGGTAATCAGCTTATCTGAGGTTCTTTGAACCATCTCCAAAAGCTCACGTCAAGTTGTTTAGTGGTCATAGTGTTCAGAGTGTGAGAAGGGGTTTTTATGAACTGGAGTGGAGAGCATCCCTACGGTACGCACATTGCCAAAGTAATATGAGAACACATGAACTTCACCACATTCGCCCCCACTAACGATAAAGTACTACTGTCTCCCTATAGTGCTGGAATTTATTCTCTTCTCTCATTCCTTTGGTTGATGTATAAATACATGCGTTTATGGTATTATTATTATTATTCACAAACATCTTATGGGTACATAAGTGTTGTGAAGAAACCATTTCGGGTTTCTTCAAAAAATGCAATAATACACTATTTTCAATAATGTCAGGATTATACTTGCCATTTAAAAAAATTTAGAGCAATAATAGTGGAATATTAATAATAATAAATCGGGTCTGTGTAATTGAGAAGAATATTGAATTGAGTTTAAAGAAGGAAATGGAGAAAATAAGGGAATAGAAATAAAGGAGACGTGAAATACGCAAACAGTTTAATTGGCGTGTTTATGAACACAGAACAAGAATAAACGACTATGTGCGTATCGTTAAATTAGTAACAAAAATAATTAGAAAAAAAATAACTTATAATTGCAGTAAGATATGACGCTAGAATAAATGTTTGTGCAGTTATAGTTTAGAGTGATGCGATGAAAGTCTCAATTGAGTGGAAAGGATAATAAAATATCAATATGTATGAGTAGTCATATATGCATAGTGAAGATAAAACGAGTCTAATAAGTTAATTTAAGTGTAACACAAGTTATTGTTTTAATTACAAACTTCGTAATCTTAGGAATAATATTTATTTAGAGGGAAAGAAGAGAGAAAAGAAGTGAACACTTAGTGAAAAGTTTTTATCCATGATAAGAATAATAATTGTGTAGTGAATATCAACCTCAGAAGGAAACCAACAATTTAGAAAAACAAAATAAAAATCCGTTAAATCACTTGGATGAATACATTTAGATTTATGTAATAGTATACAGAGTGAAACCGGATATTAGTATAAATATTTGTGCAATAATAATTAAGATTGATGCTATGAAAGTCAAAATTGATTTCAAAGGACAATCTGGAGTTAAATATGTTTAGAAGGATAAGAAGATACAAAAAGAATATCTAATGTGTCGGGGAACTAATAATGATATTAATAACGGAAATAATGATAAAAACGAACATAAGCATATTTCATATATTAAGATAAATAGAAATAAAATAAAATAGACGTGAAAAGATTTCAAGGTTTTATTTTGCTTTTCAAGCAATTAAATGGATGACGGACCTTGTTTGTATAAATCATTTTTGAATACATTGATATTCAATAGGTGACATAATCCACTTTCGGAAAGAAAATCGTCAAGGAGACTTTTGAACCGGGTTGTAGTTTCACTGCAACGGAGGTTCACTGTCAGTCTGTTCCACATGGTTGAGTGGCGATTAAGGAAAAAATTCTGACGTAAGTTTGTGTGGGTTCT